CTTAATGCTTTTGTTGTTCCTACTTGCCCACTTGGTGTTAATATTTTGCTTCTGTTTTTTTATGGTTGTATAGATAGATGCTATCTGTATATTTTTATTCACAGCGGCATATTTCGGTCACGATATTGCTAATGATGGATGCTGTTCTGTGCATGTTTTTAATTTTTCCTGGTTTATATTCAAATAAGGCGTATTTTATACTGTAAGTAGGTTTAATATTTGTTTGATGTAAAACAGTTTTTTGTTAGAAAAAATTTATTACTATTAGCGTATATATATGCATGTGTTTGGATGTCTGCTATGTATGTTTTGTATATATATATATATATATATATATATATATATATATATATATATATATTAGCAAAAAACAAGTCACTTCATCATTGTTATTTAAATTGGGTTTACGGTAGTTGATTAGAAACGTATTTAAATATCATCATATCATCATCTATGTTGAATTAATTTTAATTTGAAATTAATATAAAAAAGAATTCAAATTTGAGTGAAATTACTTAAAATTTGTTACGTAACTTAAAGCCCTATTGTTTGGTTTGTTAGTACAAGGTTGGTCGATGCTGAAAGTATTGTTAAAATGTTGGCGTTGTGCCAAAAAATTTTTATTAATGACGAAGAACAGCCATCGAAATGGCTGTTGATGCCCTCTTCATTATGATGAAGTGCCCTTTAAATGAGATGAAACACCAATATCTGCTTCATTTTGCTTCTGCTCATTGTGTAGCATACCTCTATACATTATGTTATATTTAATGTATATATATATATATATACATTATGTTATATTTAATGTATATATATATATTCATTATATATATATATATATATATAAATCATATGTATATACCCTAATCCATATATATCAAATCAAATAAATCCAACCATTTTTATTCAATCAAAGAAAACCAAAAGTATGACTCATTCGGAGACCAAAAAAAAGAAAATTAATTTATGTAGGTTCGGTCACCGTGTAATTTAAAATAACTTTTCAATGTTCTGATGATATATCGAGAATTGTTAATAAATTAGAATAAATAAAATTGGTAATAGAAGAAAAATGTGTCAATGTTAATAAAATTAAGTTTTATCTAATTAATTATTGAAGACAGAATCGTTGTTTAATTTGGAGATCAAATTTGTTATTCGGCCGTCATTTGATGTTGTTCGTGTATATAAAATAATGATAGATGACTTTATCTAGCAATTTACGTGCGTTGAGTATTAGTTAATGTTTAAAATGTCATAAAATTTAATAATCAAAATCAAACGAGAAACGACTCACCCAACAGTTAATAAAATTTTTATTGTTTGATTGCAACTAAATATATTTTAATGAAGTAAAATATAAAAACTCAAAATTGAGAATTAAAATATAAAATATAAAGAGTAACACAAATAATAATGTGTAAAAGTGTATAAGTAGTGTTCAAAAGCTTTAAGCATGTTCAAGAGATAACTCTAACTTAACTCTCTTTAACTTATGTTCTCGCCTATTATATGCTAGGAGACCTTGCTCCCTAAAGCTTAACTGATTTTCTAACTCCATCTAACCAGTCAGTCCCTATTGTATGTCTGGTAATTTTTATTTTACAAACCATTATATGCTCTAATTAAAAATGCGTTTTATTATCTTATATTAACCTTTACAAGCCCGCTATACCTTCCCGACTAGGTAACTTAATGAAATTTGGAAAACTCATTCAGAATGTTATTGTGAATGAATTTACAAAATTTCATAAAATTATCTCTTAAAGGTGATGAGATATATATGTGTTCCAAAAATGGAACGTTAGCCTATTCTGGTTATAAAATGCCATATACATTTGTATTTTATGGTTTCAAATTATTTGAAAATACTTTACGAGTTTTTGATTGTTTGTGATAAAACTAATAAATAATCAGTTGAAAAATAGTTATATTTCATTATTTATCTAATGTGCACAACACCAATGACTAAAGTGCATAAGTAAAATCACAAAGTTTATGTATTCACCATGCATACAGTTCACATCACTTCTGATGGTAGGCAACAAAACAGCGTTCATGTAAACGTTTGTTGCACTTTCCACACTGCTTTGTTGTGTTGCTTTTGCAGTAGGTGCAACGACCTTGTTTCAGAGTCTGCAAGTAATGACTTGAACCGTCAAAACGCACATAGTCTGGAATTGAGGCTGTGTGACCTCCGAGGCGTTGTCTCTGATCTGAACACCACGTAACAGACCGTGAACTACTTCTCGCAGAAATTGCAGATGTGACAAACTATCTTCAGCAGCGCACAGCTTACAATGCATACGCCACCATGCAACAACTGCAGCTGTTTTCTGCCTGTAAATTTGCTGTCTCGTCGTGAACTACTTTTATAACTTAACAATCTATATAATTCCATACCTACTTAAACACATATCTCTATACAACCTTTATCTACTTATACCTCCTAACCTAAATTATCATCTACGTAATAATATGTTTATAAATATGTATGGTTTACAAATTCTGTACGGTTTAGGTTTGATATATATCGTATATTTACATATGTGTATGTCAACAAAGCTCAAGATATATGTATGCGTGTGTATGTATGTGTGTATGTGTATGCACATATGTGTGTTGGAATGATGGTATAATTAATTGCAGCTGCACACGCACACTACACATGCATCTCCCGGTAATTACACAGTCATTCAGATTTTGAGGTTGTTGTCATGGAAATAAGCAGCAGCATAACGACTTGGATAATGATGGTAGCAGTGTAAAAATAAAAAAGCGCGAAAATATTTCGTAATAATTATATATAATAAGAATGTCATTTGCTTCAGAGGCTCCCATATAATTCATACTTGCAAAAGTGTAACTGTCATATGGACAACATTGAAACTATTTTTGTAAGTTTTTAAACCGCATAAGAAAATGTTTCTGTTACTTACAACGCGTTGTTTTACTTTACTAAGAAATTGTTTGCGTCTGATCAATTTTACAAATAAAGCTTGTATGTTTACTGAAAAATGTATTAATTTTATTTTATTTTTTAAACTAACGTTTCGTAATTGTTTGGAAAAAAAATCATTTTTAAGGTTCTATCTAATCTGTTAGGATTTTTTTTTGAAAAACTAAAAATCTAATTTGTTTAGGTATCACATATATGTTATTAAGAGATGAAATATCAGACATTTAATTTTATATAAAAATTTAATTAAGAAATTTTTAATGAAAAAAATTTTTCACGAAAAAATTCACCTTACTTCTTTAAAATTTTGATCAAAAAACAGAAAGCAAAGTTGAGAGAAAGAACAAACAGAAATGATAAAAATATTTTAAAGATTTTTAATTAAATATTTGTTTCAAAAATATAGAAAAATCTTAATTAAAAATGATCTCAAAGCAAACGCAACATGACAACGCATATTATGACAGATGGAATTATGTTTCCGAAATTGAAAATATGCCAAAATAAAAATATCACTACTAAAAAAAATGTTTTACGATTTTACAATAAAATGTTACAAAAATATCAAAAGTAAAACTTATTTTTCTACTTTCAAAAATTTCCAATTTGAAAAAAGAAGACAAATAAAAATGAAAATATACCATAAAATTGGCAATAACATAGGATTGCATGTGCAATAAAAACTTCTGCTAAAAAACCAAAACTTCTTAACGGCGTCATCGTGAAATGCGAAAAATAAATAATAAAAAAGATAATCATTTCATTTATTTTTATTTATTATAATTTTAGTGAATTTAAGATTATTCAATATGTTTCAATATTTGTCTCCATAATTGAATTTAATTAACGAAAAATATTAATTAAAAAACTAAACTTGAAATGAGCAAGAGAAATATTTTTTTATTAGGAGTTGTTCACTGAACCGAAAGTTGGAGTAAAATAAATGTCTTTTTTCAAAAACGAAGCTGGAGAAAGGAAACAGACGAAACCCTATTTATCATTTCGAAAAACTGACTACAACTTCTGGAGAACAAAATACTACAAACAAAGTCGTGAGTGTAAAATCATAAACTGAAAAAATTGCAAAAATTATTATTTGAAAATATTTAGAAACCAAATAAGAATAGTTATAACAAATTATAAAAAAAAGATAAAACAAAGAGAAAAGAATTATATTTCAATTAAAAAGCTTATTTCACAATGGTAAAACCAAAAACGGTGAAAAATAGATACATGGATAAACAAATAAAAAAGATTCAAATTGCAAAAAAGAGGAAAAAAACATAAAAATAAACAGAAAGGAAAGAAAAAAGCAAAAAAGTTTGGCTTAAGTGAGATTGGCCGAAGCATGAGATCGCCATTTATTGCAACAGTGCCAGACAGACCAGTGCTAGCCTCGTCTCATATTTTTATGTTCCGTCTCCATTCACATTCACTTTTTCATTTGTTTATTTTAATTTACATATTTTTTTTTATTATTTTTCTACAATATTTATTGCTATTGTCCTTTCTATATTTTAACAATAGTTTTTATGTCAGCGAAACATTTTTTATTGTTAAAACATGATCGCACATTCACTTGTCAACTCTTCGCAATTAAAATTCAGAAAGACCATTCTGAATGATGTTTTAATGCTTTTTGGTTTATAGCTATTTGAAAAATAAAACAAATTTTTTATCTGAAAATTTTATTCAAATCCTTTTTTGAATGTATGTGAATATATAAAAAAACATCATAAAGTTTGATCACGTGGATGGGACGAATGTGACGTTTGTGAAGGTGGAAGTGGCGTGGGGAGAAGAAGCACATCACGTGATTCAAAACGAAGATGACGTCATATGTTAATATTATTTTTTTCTTTGAGCAATGGTTTTTTCAATAAGTTTATTTAAACAAAAATATGTAACAATAAATTTTAATTAATCAAGATTACGCTTTGACAAAAAGATATTAATGCTTAATGACACATCACTAACCGTCACTTTATATACATCCATAATTTGAAACCACCTTTAAACTCTTACACTTCAACCAGTGATGGTGTACAATTGTTCCACTTTGGCAAGTTCATGTGCCCAGTGTCAAACACTTGATCCCAAATATGATTGCGTCTGGTGTAGTGCCGATACCGACCACGACTGCACATCAGGCAACGAACCACACAATTTCGACAACTCAGTCATAACCACCATAACGCAGGGCCTGTCGCAGATGAGTTGTGGAGTGTGTAGGAGCAGCAAGGAATGCCCTAAGGTGCAAATATCGAAGAGAGGTGTCTGTCCTAGACCTGCTATTTACAAGGTTGGAAAATTTTTATTTAAGGTTCTCTATGATTAATGACAGTGTGTACATTTTTTACTTCAGTTTTTTCTGTTTTATAAGTTAGTTTTGTGGTTTTATTCTAGTTGTGGGTTAGGGTTTATCCTCAATATCACTCCTACTAAAATGATAAGTAAATACAAATATTCTTTTAAAACTATGCTATTCTGTTGTTGTTTTCGTCAACGGGTTGAGACCGCAGGCATCTTGTTCTTTCTGATACGCAATTTCTTCGCCGGTCGCTTTGAAAGCTTGATTCGAATTCAGAGCATGAAGGAATGAAATGCAAATTAAGTGTCCATCATGGCATCCTCGACATCGATATGGCATTGTGTTCTATGGAGTTTGCTGCCGTTTGTGCTCCTCTTATGATATCATGTCCATCTCCTTGTCTTGCTTCTGTTCTCATGTTTGCTTTGTAATTATAGTTTTTTTTATGTTGAAAAATGGTTATTTGAAAGTTTCAATGTTATGCTGTTTTTGTTGTGTTAGTTATCTGACGAATAGTCAAAACGGTTTTGTTGAAGATTGTGTTTGTTGTTTGTTTGTTGGCGCAGTGTTAGCTATTTTCTTATGCCCTGCTAATATATCTTGCACGTTTTGAAATGAGCTGTGTGGTTTGGCTGCTTTCTTCAAAGCTGGAGTATGAGTGAATGGTGGCTTGGGAAGGAATGTGTGTGAAAGAAATAAACTGTTAGATGCTACTTGATACTATATCTCGCATGTATTTTCAATGTGAACAAATCTGTCTATAATTTACGAATCAATATATCTTTTCAATATTTAATTAATATTTTTGAAAGCTTTATAAACTTAAAATTGTTACTTAATTTCAAACTATTTGTAAGTCTTGATGTATTTAAAATTGTTACTATATAATAAAAACTAAAATATTAAGTTGAATCATCAAGTCAGAAATATGATTGACAACTTATTTTGCGAAATGTTTGATTACGGCTTAGCACAAAAGTATAGAAATTATATTACTATATATTCTATATTATTTTCCGGTTGGCAAACATAAGTTGAATTTGTTAGATTTTTTGTAAACTCATCCATGAACCAAAATGTATATGATGTTAATGTTTAACAATGTTAAAATGTCACACAATTGAGTATAAACTGCATTTTTTTTTAATTTTAACTGAAAATTCACATTCAAGCACTGAATGTATGTAGGACAAACAACAAAACACGACAACAATTCTAAAATTGAAAATAGATGTTAAAACATTTGCATAATTCATAAATTTAATTAGGAAATAAAAAAATTATTAGAAGGAAAAAAGAGAAATGGATTAATGTAGGCTACATATAAGCGGAACAAACAAAACTAATGAGTGAGACGCCATTTGATCCTGCTCTGCATTTCATAATTTTAATAATTTAACATACACGTGGGTTTGTCTCAGTACACCACATCCTGTCTTTTCCACCACACCAACAAAAACAAATAAGTACTATTATTTTTGCTTTAAAATGCAGTTTAGCAAAAATTTAATTTTTAATACTTTTCAAGTCCTTGAAAAGTTTTGTAAAATTTGTTAAAATATTCTTTTTCAAATTTGTAAATATTTTGTGCTGTTTTAAAATTGTATTTTGTAACATATTTTTTTAAAATTTTATATTATATTTGATTTTTTTTTATTCAAAACTTTAAAAAAATTGAGAATAAATACTATTATATAGTTACATAGAAATTTTAACATTTTCTCATTGACGGATTAGTTTGTACCATTTAGATTTGTCACTAATTTTTCTACATTGACTAAAAAAAATAATTTAAAATTTTTTTACCCCAATTGTTTGGTAATTTTTTCTTTCACGTTTCAATCATTTTGCTTATTCTCACATTTTTTTGTGTTTTTTTTGTTGAAACATTTGCTGAAACTTAACATTTTTCAACTGACATTTTTCATGTTTGATTTTTTTGTAACATTTTTATACGCTGTTCTTTGTCGCTCGTCATTAGTCAGTCAGCTTTTTTTATGATCGTTTGAATTTTTTTTTCATTTTCCATAGCCGTTGCATTCGTAATCATCTACCCATCCCCTCATCACGAATCTTTCTCATATTCTGCATCACATTCGCCACCATATACATTTGCCATCATCTGTTTTCATCTTCATCATCACCATCATAATCACGTTTGTCATCATTTACACTTTCATCACCATAATCACAAATGTCACCATTGCTCTTTTTTCAAAACTATTCATCACCATCCTTGCAACAGCACTTATTCTTCATTCATCTTTTTTAGTCGGCGTAGTTTCCACTTTTGAAAGATCAAAAAAATTGTCTAGGACATTTTTCAAATGAAAATTAAAAAAATTTTCACTCTGAAAGAAATCTTAGAGGAAAATTTTTTTAATTTTTTCTCATTTCTTCTCACTTAGGTAGTTGTTTACAAGAGCATAATTTATAAGTTTGCTTCAAAGCCAGAAGACTTCTTGATAACTGCACTCCATCTTTGCACCCCATTCATCAACTCTTTGCAGATGCAGCTTCCACGTTCTCTTTTTTTTTCCTATGCACTCACAAAATTTTGTCCTCAACTTGCCTGTATATTCAGAAGTTAAATCATTCACAATTTTCAGTTTTTCAATTGTTTGTCCCTTTTTGTTTATCAATAAAGTTAGCGAAACGAAATGTCAATTTGGTTTTTGCTAACTGAAAAATATTTAGAAATAATAACCAGACATATAAAAAGATGTTCATTGTCACATTCCCTTGCTAAGCAAACATGTTCATTCATTCCCATCCTTACGTACGTATGTTTGTTTATTTCAGCTAGCTAGGCATATTATCGTTAAGCGTATTTATACACCGACGTGAATAGAACTTATGTGCACGGCTTATGTAAATAAGCAAGGATGTTTTTATGAGTCTGTGATGATATTCCATGCAATTCGCCGTTTGCATTTTGTTGTGAAAAAAACTTATGAACGTATGAATTGAGGTTTTTATGAATGTTTATAACTGTCTATAACTTCTTGAGATGCTCGTAAATGTTTGTGAACGTTGTTTGTGTGTTTTTACGTATGCGTTGCATTACACATTACTTTCTATGAATTGTATATATTAAATCACTTTCTTAGCTTAAACAGTTTCATATTTTTTTTTTGTTTTTAATTGTTCAAACAATGGAAAAAAAGTTATATTCACACATGTGCTTTCAAAAAAAACTGCCTCAACACACACACATATACACAAACACATACATACTTACACACACACATACACATACGAAGAAGCATAAGAAACATCCACCCGTCATACAAATGATTTTTTAGCGTGTTTCATGCTGGGGCAGTTATTATAACCAACGTCATACACAACTGAAATCTAAAATAAACATAGACATACTTACACACACACACACACACACACACACACACATAAATAACACACACACACCAATTTCATTTACGTACCATTACGTAATGAATATAAATATACATGAATATAAATATATAATGATCACTTTTGTAACTCAGTTATGTAATAAAAACTCATTAACATTCCCATAAGCACGAACTTTTATCTTTAATATTTAAAAATTTTATTTTTAATTTCTTGTTGTACTGTTTTACTGTATGTAAAGCATGTACCTATCCTAAAATGCTGTCTGATGTGATGCAAACGTGTGATCATTAAATTGTCAGTTATACTTCCTATGACATAATATTGGGATGTGTTCTTCTTTTTATCACCCTTCTTTTCATTTTTTTCAATTTAGGTCACTTTCTGCTCTTTTCTCTTCTTCTATCTTTTTCTTTATTTTTCTTTTTTTCCTTCTCTCTCTTTTTTTTACTTTTTCTTGTAATTTTTTGTTATTATACTGTTTTTTTTACCTATTTTTGGTTTTTCCATACCATCACACATCCGCTCCATTTTTAAAAATTGATATTTGCATATTTTTCTGCGTTTGTGTGTGTTCTGTCTGGAAACGAGAATCGTAGTAATGAAACTAAATGCTGTTTTTGTAGGTTTTGAAAATTCGTAAATGAACAAAATTTTATAAAGAAAAAAATTCCAAAAAATTTGAAGTTGATTTTGAAAAACCGAGAATTTGTGTTGAAAAATATTGCATAAATAAATTATAGGAAACATTTTCTTTTTACGCCAATAATATAAATTTTTGCAAAACTTTTTTGATCTTTTATGCTAGTCAACTTTTTGTTTTCAATTTTGCAGAATTAATTAATATTTTAAAATTGCTAAAATGGGCAGAAAAAGCCATATTTCGTTTTCAAGTTAAAAAATATTATATCGCGATTTTACCAGGTAAGACCATCTTTGTTTAAAAAAAAGCTTCCAGATAAGAAACAGAAAAGAGAGAATAGCATTTTTTAACCTAGTTAGCAAAATTAATTAAATAAAAATTTAATTATAAACAAAAATTCTTCAGTCTTAAAAAGAATAATTTAAAATTTAAAAAAAAAATAGTTACGTCAATAAACTGGGTAATAAATAATTAATACAAATTTTATTTTGTTAGGCTAATTAAAAAACGCCTACACTCGCCTATCTCCACACGCACACACACACACACACACAGATCGAACCAACATCTGGTCCGCGAGAAGGCCACACCTACCTGACCATACACGGACACGATATTGCTCCCACCTCGCTAAGTAGTCTGCGAGTCTTCGTACAGGGTGTAGAGTGTGATGTCCTTCATTACGATCCTTCTGTTAAGTATGTGCCGAGCTGTTGTTTTGTGTTTTTTTGTTGTTACTTTTGTTGTTGTTTGTTAGTTTCATTGTTGAATTTTGATGTTGTTTGTAAGGCTGTTGTTTGTTTTATATTAACCTACCACAGCTCATTAATTTTAATATTAATTTTAGAAAAAATAATGATGATAATACACTAATATTTTATAACTACAACCATCTGTGCCAGCAATAAAAATATGATCACAAAAAAATATTGTATGACGCTTGTAAAGTTTGCATGATGACCGAGTTAGGATAAATAAATTCTGGCTGAAAAAAATGAAAAAAAAAATAAAATTGATTGTCTACTGATCATAAAAAGTTTTTAAATTTTCTTTCCTAATAAATTTTTGGAGATTTTCCAGCCAAAATTTTTTTTCTTATGCTTTTAGAGAACGTAATTTAAACTAACTGTCATCATAATTTAAAACTAATTGCGCAATGAAACCTTTATTATTGAAAGACGTAGGCGAATAAAGCCATGAAATTCAATCAGTCAAGATCCAACAATTCATAAATAATGAAACATATTTACAAAATCCCATTTTTAGAGACACACATATACTCATAGAAATTTACACGCATACATCAAATGATGCACTGATTTACAACCGTTACATCCATACACAGGCCAACACAGACAACCAGACAGACACACAAAACAGAGACAAAACACACACACTCACAAAAATAAACATACAATCACACACACACAAAACATACAATCGCACATGCATACAAAAAAACATACACACGCACAAACACACATGCACAAACACACACACGCACACACAGATAGACAAACAGGCAACCTCATATGATATCGTAAAAAATTTCAGTCTTCCAGCTGTAATCATCATCGTCTGCCAACGTGAAAATCACCCCGCCAAAAAATAATAAATAACAATAACGCAACGATATAAATAACAACAGCTATATGGTATAAAAACAATAAATATAATCTTAAGAACGCCATTAAAAAAATATATAATTCGATTTTTATAGTTTTGCCGAAAGAATTTTAATAATATTAATGACAATAAAAAGGTTTAAAACATATATAAAATCGTGTTTCGGAATTTTAAAATTTGTATTAAATTTTCTCAGAGCAACTTTCGTTTTGAAACTTTTCACACACTTTTTTTTACCAAATTTAAGAAAACTTTTGAAATCAGTAATGCGTTATTTCAATTTTTAATTTTGTTTATAGAAATGTGAAGTACATAGCGCGTGTTTTACATCTTAAAGTGTAGTTCTTGGAGTTTGTTCTGTTTGTACAATTTCTGATCAAATGCTTACTCTCTGTGTTATTTATTTAACGATAAAATTTCAAACTAATTAAATTATGGGTTATAACGGTTTAAAAAAAAACCAACACAAATTTTATTTTTCAATTCATCATAAATAAATATTTAAATCAAAAATCTAAATATTTACAGAATTCATTAGCTTCAATTCATTTGCTAAACTATTCTGTCTTTCATTATTCTATTAGATGCTAAAAAATAAAATTGATTTTGAGTGGAATTAATGATGATATCATCATGTCGATATCATAATATTGAAACATGTAGGATTGTCTGCCTGACGAGACCGATTATAGGGCCAAATTTCAACAATCAAACTGCACATGACAGCAAGCAGTTGTCATCGTTGTCGTCATCGCCAAATTTCCTACCTACTTCATCATCCTCATTTCTTTCATCATCATCCTCATCTCTTTCATCATCATTTTCATCAATTTCACCATCATCTTCATATCCATCTTCTTCACCATCTTCAACTTTGTTATTAAAAATTCCAACAAAGATGACGACAAAGTCCTTGTCATCATCATCATCATCTAAATCATCATCATTTTCATCACCATCGTCATCACCGTCGTCATCATTGTCGTCATCATCGTCGTCGTCATCCACCACGTCATCATCACGCGCCGGTAATGTTGTGGTGATGATGGAGGATGGCGACGTCAGTGTGAGATCAAGAATGAATTTTCAAATTATGGTTTGTTGTTGATGTTATGGATGTTGTCGCGCTGATGTTATTGTCCGAGTTGGTGTTGTTTTTGTTGGTGTTGTTTATGTTTTTCTGTTGTAGTTGTTCGTATTGATGTTTTCTGGTTGTTAATGTTACTGATAACGCTTCTATAGTTCAATTCTTTTACGTCCGAATATGAGAAAGGTTTTTGGTTGCAATTATTATGCCACAATTAAACAAAAACATAAAAAAGCCGCAAGTTATTTGCTTAATAGATATAATTAGTGAAAAAATTTGACTGAAGAAAAATAATATTTTGTGAAATGATTTAAAAACTAAATTTGTTATAAAGCTTTCAAAACAATTTCACATCAGTTCATTCAAAAGAAGTTAATGATGATTAAGTAGACAAAAGTATTTTTATTTTTTCTCTATCCCACTTATGAACACACGCATACACATACATACGTACACGTACACACACGCAAACACGCATACTGACGCATATATTAATTTGCATCTGAAAATTTAATTAAAGCAATTTATTCTTTGTTAATAATCTCCGCTTCAATAGCAGGCGACAATAACTCACGTCAGTCCAATGCGCAGTCCAATTATGAAAGCATCAACCATCGTCAGCCTCCGAGGAAGGAACTTGAATGTCGGCTCAAGTGTTGCTGTCAGCTTCTGCAACAAACTCTGCTCGGCAACACTCAATATTGATGACATTAATGCGGGTGTTAATGATGACATCACAACTAATTTGCTGACAGCGAATCATGTCATTCTCGATCATTCATTCATTTTGTCACGGGATGTTGAGAACATTAAAAGTAACAACCAACATATTAAAAATAACATCAGCAGTTATAACAACAACAACAGCAACAACAACAACAGCAGCAGCAGCAGCAACAGTAGCGACGGCAGCGGCAAAGACCCCGTTGAAGATAAAATCCCTCGTAGGAGCATGGACATCAAAATAACAAATCATCGCAAGAAAATAAATTCATGTGACGTCATATCACGTGACTCGACGACAATAACGTGCGTCATGCAACAACACAGACGCACACAGACGTACAAATACGTGCACGTACGCATTGATAACTTTTCACTTTTACTCAATCAGTTCCATTTGTCTTTCATTCATCCACCGACTTTTTCTTCAATCACTCCTAGCAAAGGATTCCTACATGGGTGAGTATTTTTTTTGTTTTTCCATTCACTTACACTTACATATTTAATCTTCTGCTTGTTACATTTTTGAATTGTTCTTCGTTCGTTCATTTTCTATTTTGTTCTTTCATATTTTAACTATCCGTTCATCTGTTTGGTCCTTCCTTCCTTCATTCATTCATCGTTCATTCATTCGTTCGTTTGTTCATTCTATAATACATTCATTCACACGTGCAAAAATTTTTCATTTTTAATTTCATCAGCACTTCATTTTTTATAATTTTTTTTAGGCATTTAAAAAAAAAATCTGCATTCGTTCATTTCCCATCTTCTAAAAGCTATCAAACATGTTATCCTGTAATATATTTTCCAGTGTCATTCTCTTATTTTTTTTCTGAATTAACTTTTACATTGCAATGGAACTTAAAATTAAAATTACACACACATACACACACAAACACACACACATACCTACATACATATGCAGGTATACGTGTATGTATATACATACATTTAAAAATTATAAAATTAATACTACTTAAACGTTTGTTTAATACATTTATGTGTTTCTGTACGTGTGTGTGTGTGTTCGTGTGTGTGTGTGTGTGTGTGTGTGTGTGTCCGTGTGCATGGTGTATGTGTGCGTATGGTGTGTGTGTGCACGCGTCGTTACTTCACGTCCTCGTCACATGTTCATGCAAGGTTCGGTTTAAAGTTAAAAATAAGAGGCAGACGTGTTGATGCATTGTCGTCATCGTCGTCGTCTTCGTCACCGTCATCATCTCCGAGTGACGTCATTATCATCTACTCGCATGATGACGTCATCATCACAGAGGTAATGTTTCTTGAAATTGTTGTGTGGTCTTTGTTTGTTTGGTTTTAAAAGATATTTACTTACTTTTAAAAATCATCCAATTGGAAGATACATGGATTCAGATAGGCATTTTTGAAATGAATCAAATTTTTTACAATTTAGTTTTAAAGTAACAAAAATGTTTTTCTCTATATGTATTTTTGAATTCATTTCTAAGACGAACAAAAATATTTCAAGTTTTATCGATAAGACTCCATTCTTCATTGATGTTTCAGTTTTCTTATAATCAAATTTCTAACGCTACATATGGTTTTTTCAACTATTTAACTGATAACTTCTACTTAAATGATACGACAAAATGCAATACAATCACCACCAGACATGTGCTAACGTGAATAGAGACGAGATAACTTGCAATGCCCCCTCCGTTGCTGAGAAACACCAACACCTATCACCACCACTACCATCAGCTACATCATCATCGTTGTTGTCATCGCTACTTTCGTCATCTACGTCATCATTATCACCATCATCGTCGTCGTCATCATCATCTTCATCAATGCTGTTGCTGTCGTCATCACCGCCATCTTGGATTTTTGCTCGACATCATAATCATTCCCACCATCTTCATCATCACCATCATCATACTCATCATCAATTCGCAGCCGATAATTTTGAACAAAAGCATCCATCCATCCATCCTCATTATCCCATTTTGTTTAAAGTTTCCTTCTATTCGCCCACCTTCATTCCATCCATCACGGAGACCAACATCACCTTCTCCATCTATCCAAGTCCACTCTTCAACGAAATAAACAGCGATGACGTCATGATGATGACGTCGAGTGGTGATAACGATGACGATGATGACGAGGAGGGTCAAAATGGTGCAGATGATAGGAATGCAGTGAATGCCTACGACGATATTGCTGAAAATGGTGATGGTGGAGATGGTCCTGATAAAAAACCTCCACCCGATCTTCATCATCGTCATCGACTGCGCTCCAATGACCTGCTCATCTTAACGGTGAATTTTTCAGATCTAAAAAATGTTTGACTGACTGATTGATTGATTGGTTGATTGAATGATTGGTTGGCTGGTAAATCATTGTAAAAGGTGACTGATTGACTAATTATCAATTCGTTGATTGGTTGGTTGACAGTTTATTTTGATACCATCACTACTTGAGTCCTATGTTCTTCTTCCTGCATTTTTGTGTTTGTTAAAATATTTTGCCTACATAAGCAACTTAAGTCTGTAAAACTTCTATGAAAATTTTTAAAATTTAGACTTCTATTCATTTTGAAAACTTTCTCAAATATATGCCTTTTCAACAAAATTCATTTGAAATGCAATAAAATTTTCACTCAACAATCACGTAAAAACTTCAAAACGTTAAATAACCAATGAAACAGCACAAAAATTACAAAAGAACACACGCCATAGACACAAATAAACAAACACACAAACAAACACAAACAAACAAATAAACACACACAAACACACACAAACAAACACACACGCACACAAACACATACAGGGTCAAGACTTGAACACAGTTCTCACCCTAGATGACTACAACATCAAAGTTGACCACACAACATGTCCACTGACCTATCTAAGCCACGACAAACTGACCTGCAAGTTGAACAAACCCTTAACGAAGTTATCTGTCGTTGAGGTTTATTTCAATTTCAATGGAATAAATTTGTTAATAGCTTGGGTGTAAATAAAGCGAATGAATTTTTGTTAACTTTACGTTTATTTTAGTTTTATTTCGCATCAAATTTTTAGATTTTGTTTTAAATTTTAAAACTTCTCTTTGATTTTATGTTTTTTTGTATCGTAACATTTCTAAGGTTAATATTTTGCTGATTGAAATTGAAGTGTTCAAATAATCAAACAATGAAAAAAATAGAAGGCAATGGCGTGGCTAGATATAGCATTTGAGAATGTCTGCAAATATTTTGAAATGTAAAATATAACAAAAGTTTATTAATCTTTGTTTTTTCAAACAATACTTGTATTCCATTGTAAGAACTACTGGAAAATAAGCATAACATACTAAAAAAAATTTTTATTGCATGCCACTGAATTAGTTACAAACAAAAATGATTTCATAGCTTAGACACTAATTATGTCTATGCTGATTAAATTATTACATGTCGTTATCTCACAATTCAATCGGTTAGGAAATAATAAAACGAAAATAGTAAAAATTGAAATGCGCATAAAATAAAAATAAAATGAAACCTTATCCCCCGACCGTCGTTGACAAAAGGTTTATGTGCACAATTCATCTTACACCGTGTTAAATGCCATCAATAAAGAGAACGATGCGAGTCGCCATCATCACCAACGCGACAGCAGCCACCACCAGCATAATCATCATCGCAAGCATTTTATCATCAAAATAGTACTTAGCTCCTTTTTCATCGTCGCCATCATCTTCGTCGTCGTCATCTTCATCTTCCTCGTCTGCGTGCGATCCAGAAGGAAGTTGCTGAACATGAATAGCTGCAAACGAGCGAACAACAGACTGGTGGTTGTTGATGGTGGCTGTGGCGAGGAATCGGTGGATGTTTGTGGCGGTGGTGGTGATGGTGCTGCTGGTTGTGGTAGTGCTGGTGGTGGTGGTGGTGCTGCTGCTGCTGCAGAGGATGGTGCCAGCGATGAGTGGAAAAGTGGTTAGTTGATTGCGCGAGTCTGAAAGTTTGTCAAAATGTTTTACACTAATAAAAAAATAATTTTATTTTAATTTTTAACAATTTGAAAAAATTACATAAATTAAATTTTGTTTGAAAAATTATTTTTCAGAAGAAACATTTCTGCAGTGTTCATTAGTACATATAAAAAAATTTAATGAGCGCTGATATTGAAACGCAAAAAATATCAAATAATTGCATACTAAGCAAGAAAATATTTGAAACATTTCTTACTTTAAGAAAAATATAAATTTTTCAGTATTTGAATCGAACAGAGTAGAAACAGCAGCAACAACAACGCAACTTAACAACAACAACACCACCACCAACAACAACAATAGCAGCAACAACAACAACAACGACAACATACATCTGCGTTACTACTCGGACTACTGTTCGAGAATGTTCTGCCATGGTAGTGAGGACGTTCAACTGCACAACAACATCATCAACACACACAACGTTAGATCATCCACTGTGCTTGCTGCTTATTAATTTGATTTTACACTGAAAAAAAAATTTTTTGAATGTTAAGTTTTTCTTGGTTTGTTATAAATGGATAATAAACATTTCACAGATTCAAACTAATTTCATTCAACATAGCCACACACAGTTTAATTCTTTAATTGACCGCTGCGATTGTTTACGATTCCTTTATGCAAACAAACATTCACAGTCAAATATTATTGCAATCAAATATTTTTTGAGCTTCATGCCAAAACTACGATGATGGTGTTATAATAGACGATGATGAATCTAACTAAGATGATGATGATAAAACAGAAGATAATGATGATAGAAATCATGATGACGGCAATTATGATGAAGAAGATGATGATGACGACGAGGATGAAGGAGATGATGACAATTACGATGATGATGATGACTCCAACCATGATGAATACGATGATGATGATGACTCCAACCATGATGAATACGATGATGGAGATAACAATGATGATAATGATAATGATGAAGAGGAGGAGGAGGAGAATGATGATGATGGTGATGTGATTATGGTGATGATGATGAACGACATAGAGGATGACGATGAGGACGACGACGACTTTGGGCGTGACGTTGACAGCCATGACAGGAAAAACAATTGCAGTCTGACATGGGTCATTCGTCATTCCTTCCCGACAATGAACAACATTCACTTACTCGCGGTTGAAAATTTCAACTGTTTTCTTGGCAATATTTTTAAATGGGATTAATCCTATCAACCTATATTTAACCACTGCCTGTATGGTTATAACGTGCATTTGCATCATCTTTTCATCATCAACGGTTAAACCAGGCAACATTTTTATTATTATATCCAAATGAAAGTAACACAAAACGTTTTATTCTCATCAATTCATTATTTATGGCTAAACAAGAACTTTTTATTTACTTACTAATGAATTTAAGACCCATATAGATATAGTAAAAGTCAAGTATTACTATTTAACGTTTCATCGTCATTAACTACGAAACATTTTTAATTGTTCGCAAATGAAATGATTGCTAAAAATTATCCAAAATTTAATGTTTACACACGAAAATAATTCGGTAATTATTTACCTGCAAAAAATTGAAATTTCAAACACAAATATATTCAAAGTTTTTTTTATAATATCAAAACTACTCCACAAAATTTAACCCAACCTCTGAAGCAGGTGCACAAGAAAGATTGACCTTTAACCTTTAACCCAAAAAATTATACCCTCATAATACAGCCAGACACTCCAACCCATCAGCCCCGCAAATCCCAACTTTCAAGTTCCTGTGAGTACGGCCTGAAACTGCTGAACCAGCTGGTCAACAATAGGATCTTCATGACCATATTCATACGGACGTGTGAGGAATGCGGCAAATTCAATGAGAAGGACAAAATAAGTTTGGCCGCCCTGCTGACCGTTGCCGTCTTCGACAACATGGAGTATTATACTGAGTTAGTTGGACTGTCTGTGTTGGTGTTATTCTCTTGTTTGGAGGTTGTTGCTAATGTTTTTAAATTTAATAGTCATTTCAGAAAATTATAAAGTTAGTATGTATCAAATTGAAGTAATACAGTAGCTGAACTATTTTTAATACGAAGCTAGTTTTTTCTCAACATTTTAGTAAACCATAAGCAAATACTTTGAAATAAATTCAACTATTTTATGAATTTTATTTGAAATTAAATGATATATTTGTAAAAAATCATAAATTATTAAAAGAAAAATTAATACCAAGTTAGCTTTAAAATAGCAAAACGTTCGTTTGAAAAATTGTACAGCATCATAAAAGCCCTGCTGACCGAACGGATCAAAACGTCTTCCGCACCAACCACACCCTCACCATCAATACCATCACCAACACCGTCGTCGTCGTCATCAGCCAACAACAGCAGAAACATTCTCGACTTGTTGTTGTCTAATTGGTTTGCAATACTCATGCATAGTTATGTTAAAGTTAGTCATCTTAATCATCTTCGTTTATCATCTTTGTTAACTTCATCATTATCTTTATTATTGTCATTATCTTCATCAACTTCATCATCGTCGTCATCATTGTCACCATCATCTTTTTTCTTTTTTCAATTTGATTCTTACTGACTTGACAATATCAGGTCATCATCACTTTCTTCACACACACACACACACACACACACACACACACACACACACACACACACACACACACACACACACACTTGCTGCTTATAAAATTGTAATCAGTGCCCATACTCGCTACTATTATTATCATCTATATCATCATTATCCTCATCATCTACATCAACGTCAGCAACAAGCTAGCCAGGTGTTGCATGAACTGTTTGAGAGTTTGAGCCAGCACATACACAGAGGTCCAGTTGATGCGATCACAGGTCAGTCCAAATGGTCACTCTGTCTTCAAGATGTTCTCAAGGTCAAACTTGAATACAAAACAATTGTTAGTGCATTTTTTTTATTATTAACAACCATTTTTAAAATAATTAAGTTTTTCAAATTGGTTTTGTCGCGAAATATAGCATTTATATTTTTTAAAACAACAAATTTGAATGTATACGGCGTGACACATTTTGAGTTCGTCTAATTCTTTTCCAATTGTTAGCACTGGCAACGGTTTGTTTAGCAGGGCAATAAATTTCGCTCACATGCAACAATGGAAATTTTTTTGTCTCGCAACTTGAATTTTTTTCATTATGCAGACCTTAAAAATTTGCAACACAAAAGACACGATGAAGTTGAATAGCCAGCACGATTGCAACAACATTAATAAAAACAACAGCAGTTTCAAAAACAGCAATTTAAACAACGACGACGACGACGACGATGACGACGACGACAACGAGACTTATTCATCGTCAACAAATCAAAACAACAACATCACAGCAGATTACAACAACTATAACACAACAACTTTCAACAGCAGCAACAACAACAAAACATCATTCCATCGAAACAACTACGTGAAGATCAAAGTTTTAGACTGCGATACAATCTCACAAGTCAAGCACAAACTCATTCAAGTTCTTTACAAGAATGTTCCATATTCAAAGAGGCCCGACCCGGAAAATTATGATCTGGGTTCATTGCTTATTTTCAACTCTTTTGATTACAAATAAAAAACTTCACTCACGGCATACACACATACACACACACACGCGCGCGCGCGCACACACACGCACACACACACACACATACATACACGCATTTCAATGAAAATCTTTTTTGAATCGCAGTTTGGCGTCTCAACCGATCTGGAACAGTGAAAGTTCTCCAAGACAGTGACAACTCCAATAAGAAGGATGGTGAGTGAACGAGAACATTCCACAGATTTCTATCTGTTCAAGATTTATATTTTGCAAAAAAAAACATTTTATAAGAATGGTTTTTATTTAAAATACTGTGACTATCAAGTATCCACTAGATTACGTTAAGATAGATACGTCCACTAGATGTATGTATGATACGCTTGTTAAAAAACTATTCAGATTCACGGCAAACAAATCTACAATGGCAATATTGCTATATTTTAGTTTTATCAATTTTTCAAACCTTTTTCAAGTTTCGGTAAGTTTTAATGAATCTAATATTAATGTAGTTTGAAGAAATAAATAATTTTGTTCTCAGTTTTAAGGGATAATAATCAAAAACTTAAAAATTCAATCATCTTTTTGTCCTAAAGAACTTTCGTTTGTAAAATTAAAAATATTTTAATTACTTGAAAAAAAAATTAAACAATAGCTAAAAATTTTTCTTATATTACAAGCAAAGAAAGTTAAAATATTTTTGTTTACTAATTATTTATTCTAGCAAAATGTTTTGAAATATGTCTAGAATGTTCGCAAATAAAATAATAAGCATTCGGTTCTTCAACGTTCCAGGCAAGATCAATAATTCCTAAGAATAACTTCAAAAGAAGGCATTTATGCATTTCTTCTGAATAATGCAGTGCATAAAGTGCCAGCGTTATTCTTTTAAGTCGTATTTACGGTGTATTCTATTTTTGTATCCATTACAATTTTCGGTCATATATTTTTAATTCATTCAGCGTTTCCTTTCATGAAATAATTTCTGAAATAGAGAAACGTATTACTTACTTTAGGAACAAGTTACAGATTGAATACACTGGAACATTACAAGGTTGATGACGGTGCGTTCGTATCTCTGGTCAGCAGACAGCAAGAAACTGATCAGACAAAACACCAACAACAACACCAGCAACAAGGCAAACATCTTCAAGGTCATAATCACTACCAACAGCAGCAACAGCAGCAGCGGCATATTGACTTAATTCAAAGCAGCCGCAATGATTACTACAAACTTAATTTGAAGCCGCCATCGTCAGCCACAACCACGCCAATGACGATGACAAATTACTGCAAACATGCACACAGGACCAGCAATTATTTCACATATTACTCTCCTCCCAACCACAGCGGCTATGATTACCGACACGGCGCTGATGACGACAGCTACAACTATTTCAGTGATAACAACAACAACAAAAACAACAACAACAACAACCATAAAAATAAAAACAACAACAACAACGACGACGACAACATGAACGATATCAACAGCCAGAGCAAATCCGTGGTACAATATAATGGTGCCCATAAAAGAACATATTGGAACACATATGTCGCCAAAAATAAAAGTATCGCACACTAATATTGTTCTTATTTCCATAAATATGAGATTACTCAGAGGCTATTATTATCACCAACATGTTCTTCCTACTCATTCACTGTTATTACCATCATGTTTCTTTTAGCCAGTGGCTATATCGTCACCGTCTTATCCTTCTTACTCGTCACCACCTGCATGATGATCATTAGCAATACCATTATCACCATCATCGTCATTACTTTGTAATCAGTGTTACTATTGTCCTCGTTGGAGTTACAGCATCATCATCGTCGTCATACTCATTGAATTGCTATCAACCTCAGCTTTTTAATTTATTTTTCTTTATCATTCTTTACGAAAATCAAGCACCAGTGTATGGTACGACAATGAGAAGAGATGTGAAAATAATTTCACCAAAAAACGAGAATAATATAAAAATAATAAAAAAAAAATAAAAAAAATAAAAACATAGAAACATGTGAATGAATGCAACTATGGTGACTCTGGTGATAGATAAAGGGCTTCATTTTCTTACTCATCATCACTATCATTTTCATCGCCATCATCTTCTTCTTCATCGCCATCATCACCATCATCACCATCATCGTCGTTTTTAGTCCTTTTCATCCAAATCAAAATCATCATCATCATTATTAATATTATCGTCGTATCACCATAATCATCGCAATCATAATCATCATTTTTTACTTCTTCATCATTATTGTTATTATTATTATTATCATCATCATCATCATCATTGTCGACATCACCACTGCCGACAAATTGTTTGGGTACTTGCGTCTGCGACAATTTAGTGCAGTCCTTATAAATATTAGATCATCTCAAACACAACAACGTCATCATCGTCTTCTTCTTCGTCATCATCATTTTTCTAATCATCGTCATATCCATTACGATCATTAGTATTATTGCCATTAATTATCACTACGTGGCTGTGTTTTCGGTTCTGCCAATGACTACTTTTTTAATTTTAGTTTTGTTTGTCATTACGGCAAAAAAATTGTCATAATCGACATTTATTATTATAAAGTCGTCATCATTATTATAATTATTCATTTTTTATCATCATCGTCTTCATCGTAATCATCTTCATAATAATCATCATCAACGTCAGGTGCCTCACCTTACTCACAATCTCTCCATGAATCATCATCCTCTCACGTAGCAGCTCCATATCTCCTGACTATCAATTGCAACAGACACTGCAAGCAGAAGTATCATCACCTGGTTAGTCCGAATGGTTGAGAGAATTTCGTAATAGGTTGTCGATTGATTAAATTAAACAAAAATAATTGATTTATTCATTCATTAGTTTGGTTCTTGGTTAATCAATTAATTGAAAAATTTATTGATTAATTTATCTATCGTAATTATTTGTTTGGTTTTGAACGTTTAATAAATATTACTTTTTAACATAATTTCAGTGAATTAAACATTTATATTTTTTGGCAAAAGAATTTTTTACAACACATATCTTACGAGAGCAATCCAGCATCACGTGACAAATACAATTTGTCTAGGTGAAGCCGTCAACGTCCTCCTCATCTTCCTCGTCCCGTTCCAACCCTCCCATCCATCATATCAATCTCTCCAGATTCGTCGCATCCAAGGTTGGTCGGTCATGTTGTATGGGCTCGTCCAATGCGAACTTTTAATCAGGGTTCATGATTCAAACTGAATCAGGCTCAATTTATTATTACAAGCAGGACAAAATGATTAATTTTCAAATCAAAAAACCTTCCTCTGGCAATTTTGAAACAATTTGAAGAAAGCAATTTTTTTATTCACGATTTCTATTGCTTTCACGTTCAATGATCCAAACATTCAATTCAGTTAAACCTTTTACCAATTATGAGCAGTTCTCTTTAAAAATATTGTTCAAGTAAGCAACAACCATAAAACCCATCAGTAAATATTATAGAACTGCAAACAACATTCACTTGCAGGACCCACTGAACCAGCCAATCAGCAATCTCTTCAAATGCATCTTCAACATCACCTCCATCTCTCACCTCCTTCCCATCAAGTACCTCTTCGAGTTCATCGACAGTCACCTGGCCCCCACAAACCGTGACCTCATCCAAGCTTGGAAAGTTCATTGGTTAGTTTTCGATTACGTCACATTTATTTATATTTGAATCATTTTGCTTGTTATTGGTTTTTAAAATTTCGTTACTAAATCTTTGTGACATTGGTGACGCAACCAGATTTCATTGGTCAGGTTTCAATGACGTCATTTTTTTATTTTCATAATATTGTTCTTTGTTAATTATAAATTATTATTATTTCAATAATATTTGATAAATTACGATACAACTGCTGCTACTTAGGGCAAAAATAAAAACAAATAAGATGATGATGATGAGGATGATGATGATGATGGTGGTCGTGGTGGTAGTGGTGGTGGTAATGATGGTGATGATGATGATGATGACGATGATATCTTGTATAATGTTGTATAATATTCTGAATATTTTCAAATTTAACATCTACGTAAGATTGTTAGTAAGAGAAGTAACAGTTATAAATTTAATTAAATTAAATACAATATTGTGTTTAATAACGAACAGAATAGTTGCAAAGATGATGGCAATAAATAATTTTATTAAAAAAATGTGACGTTGTAAGATGCTAAAGTTAGCGACGAGGATGTTGTTGATGTCGTTGTCAAAATGCCGTGCGTCAAAACAACACCCACACATCTAACAAATGAGATACGCTTCTATACAATCAAACAGCTACCCGCTCCTGTTTTGGTGTGACGTCATAAGTCACGTGGACAACATTTTAGACCTTCCTTCGTCCACGCCCATCCATCCGTCACTCGACACCATTGCTCAATTACTGATCGAGTGCTGTGCGAGTAGTAACAGTAATGTTAGTAACTTCAGCGTCCCCGGTGGTAGTAGCACTGCTGTAGGTAGCAGTGGTAGCAGCAGTAACTACGGCGGAAATCTTTTTGGGTTGAAGAATAAAGACGGCAGGAGCAGAACGCATTTTAAAAATGTCTTCAATAAAGAGATTTCCAAGTTTCAACTACCAACCAAACGGTTTGTTCATCTATTCATTTTTCAGATTTTAAATATTCAGAATTTAGAAACAAGTTTTTTTAATTATTGAAAATAAAAATTCAAACAACAAAATGGAAATTATTTTCACTTATAAACCATTTCACTGATTTCAGATTTTACGAGTACGTGGAGAGCATGGATGGTGTATGTGAAGCGGAAATGAACCTCATCTTCAACCAGGAAACCAAGGTTAATCAAAAACTTCAGTCTCTCTTACTTTCACAGCTGAAGTTGTTGCATCCACCAACATACAATTTTACCGATTGTTTCAGAGTCGTAACTTTTTGTAAAACATATTTTATGAAGATACTTCAATGTTTAAAAGAGTATTTTGTTGATAATTAAACTATTAGCATTGTTGTGATTAGAAGCATTTTTGTATCATTTGAAATGATGTAGTTAGAAAATTAACGACGAACAAAGATGAAAGCGATAAGACAAACATATCGAAACATTCATTTGGCACGAATGTAATGAACATTTGTTTGTAATCTAACACTAGAGTGAGGAAAATTTAAACAAAATTTTAAAACTTTTGATTAAAAATAATTCTCAAAAAATGCTTTTTTACTTTTAACAATTTTTTTTTTCATTTAAAAAAAACAACAAAACGTAACTGAAATTTTGTTTAGCAGCACATTTCAAATGTGTTTAGCAGCACATTACAAATGAGGTTTGATCTGAACAATAAATATTTCAAATCAATTTTTTGTAAAAAAAAATTGTTTTTAATATTTCACGTTGAAAAATTGGTTAATAAAGTGATATATGAAAATAAAAACATTGAGTAATTGTCTTAAAGACCTTCCAGAGCGATTTCAGCAGAAACGATGCTTTGCTGCAGTTGTACAGTTTCATGAAGTGCTCACACAATGAGGTTCGCTCGTTTTGCTGCTGGTCCTTATCTCTATTAATTATTTCTTTTTCTCAATTACAGTTGGAATTTGTATTAGGTTTATGTGGTATAATTTGAAATAATTTTCTAGATTATTGCTCATTTTTATAATTGCCTCAGATTTATAAATTAACTTGTGTTAATTCACCTGTTGAAATAAAGTTGCTAAGAAACTTGGAGAGTGACATCCCGGCCAGGACGTACGGTCTGCCAATTAGGATGAACCAGCTCCAAGTCACCATGGCGTCTGAGATCAGTTGCTGAAACGTGTCGTACATACATATTGTACTTCTACTTTGATTGTACGTTTACTTTGATTGTACTTCTACTTTGATTGTACTACTTTGATTGTACATTCATCGTACCCATCCCATACATGTGTTGCATGTGTATTGTATTGTACCATCAATTTATTATATTTTTTGACTGCATTGTCGACCATTTTTGTTTATGACGTCAACGGTGATGATGATGATGTAGCAATTAAACTAGTGGCAGTTGTGATGATGATGGTGATGATGACGATGATGATAATGATGGTGATTGTGTTTATTTGCTGAGTATAGTTATGATGGTTGACATGAATTACACTTAATTATTAAGGAAAATGTGATAAATTTTTTGGTACTTTAAATTTTTAAACTTTCTGACATTGTATAATAATTTTGAGAATTATTTTTTCATACGGTAGATGATAGAAATTTGTTAACAACTGTTAGATTGGTTACAAAATTTCAATAGTTATTTTATCCGCATTAAAAAAAAATGATTTAATATGTAAAATAATAAAAATTTACAATTTTTTCCAATTTTTGTGTTCCAGCTTGATTAAATTTTTGACAGAAAACAAAAAAATTTACGAAAAAAAATTGTTATTTTCGTTTAAACAAAAAATAACACCTTAATACTAAAATCAATGAATCAATCGCGTTCGAAAAAACCAGGGGTGGGCGAAGCTATTTTTGCGGCCCGCTAGACCTTGTTTGCCGGTAAAAGGTCGTCAGCCAGACATTATGACCAATAAGGAGCCACAAATCTTAAAAAATTTTTCCCTGGATCAAATAAATTTGTATTCAAGTACATATGCGGCCCTTCAAAGGTAAAATAGTTCTCAGTGCGACCCTCACAGCAAACGTTTGCCCACCCCTGGACTAAACTAACGAAATCACTTTTATGTCAATTTAAATTGGAATCATTTATAAATATTTAAAAAATTCAATTGATTGATTAATTAATCGATCAATCAATTTATTAAATAATTAAATAATCGTGTGCGTGACAATGCATTTGATAATTTGAAAACATAAAATATTAACATGTTGAAGAAGCCACATAGAAATAATGCAGTTTAATATTAAGTAAAGTAAATGTCTCAAAAAATGGCATAATTAAATAATGATGAAGATAATTATGCAAGTACTTTAAATCAATCAGTTTGTTGTATAGGACCGAATGGAATGGATTAGTAAATATAATTAATAACGTGTGTGAGCGTATGTATGTATGTGTGTGTTTGTATGTATGTGTGCGCGCGTATGTTTTGCATATGTGTGTATTTTATGAAAAACAAGACAATAATTAAATCATAAGCAAGTTACATTTCATCAACAAAACCTTAAAAAAATTATGAATACTTATTCCTTAGGAGAATTAACGTATGAATATCGCTTACTATTTCACTTTCATAAGGTTTTCTATGTCGTACATTAACCCGTATTTGTACGAGAAATGTTATTTCATTTCATTTTGTTAAAATAATAAAACCTTAAATACCCCACCAATGCCAGAGTACCTAGGTAATTAAATTCAACAAAATTTCATCATGTTTATTGAATGCAATTTAAAATTTTTTTATAAAATTTAATAGTTAATGGAAAATACATGATTACAAAAACAAATTGAAAAATCATATTTTAAGTCTTTGGTACGCCTTTCGTGGGCACTTCCTTTTCCTGTTCGTACGCCTTCCTTCCTGTTACGAACTCCGGATAGGTTATGTAACCGTCAAAGTTGACGTCATCAGTGTCTAATATGTTGTCAACTATGTCTGGTTGGATTTGATTTTCATGGATCATCGTATTTTTGTTTGATTGGAGATGATTGTTTGATATCGTTAAAACAGTTTTTAAATGATTTAAATTTGTGTGACTGTTTGTAGCATAAAAAAACAAAAGATAATAACTTTTGGATATCTAGATATTTTCAGTTTAAAAGATTACCATTCTAAAATTTCAAAATGAAAATTATGTTATGGGATATAAAAATGAACATAAACATTCACCAACTGGAGTAATATTTCGTTTTCATGTCTGACTTCGCTTCGACCAGCTGTTCGTCGCTCAAGTTTTTGGTAGTTTTCAACTTCTTCAGATATTCACGTGAGTATTTTTCGAAGTCTGCCTCAGGTATGGAGTGAACGAGGGCCTTGTATATTTCAAGTCCATCCAGTTTCGTGTTGTTGTCTAAGTCGTGAAGCCTGTCGGTTGGTTTTATGAAATAAATCTGGAATGAATAGTAACTTATGTCACAACGTGTAAAGCTTGAAGCATAAGTGAACAATTGAATGATAAATGAATTAATTATTAATAATTGGTCACTTGAAGTAGTAGAATTCCAATTCATCAGCTGTCATGTCAGTAAAGTTCATATGTGCTTCTTCCTCTAGATGTTCTGTTATGTGTCTGTCGTGTAGTGTGTGTGGCGTGGTGGAGTTTTGTTTAATGGTTATATGCGTGGTGTTTAGTTGGCCATATCATGTAGATTGTAGTATATATAAAAATTATCTCATTACTTATACTTATGCATATCCTTTGATGTTCAATGCAGTTTAGTAATAGGATTGGTCTTATTTGGCCTGCAATGTTGTTCAACGCGTTGTTGTATTAATGTTCATGAAATTTCGTTGTAGCACTGCTGGGCATTCTTGTAATTTTTTTTCATTAAAAATTGTTGACAATAATTTTGGTCAGAAAATGATTTTTCGTTTCGTTATAACGTTTTGCAATTGTGAACAATTTTTATTTATTTAATTTAATTAAATATGAGTTTGGTGCCCGAATCAAGCATCACAAAAATAGAAACATGTGGTTTTCGGCATATGCTAGGATGAAAATAAATATAAAAAAATTAATCCTACTCTTTGCTGGCAATTTTTGGATCGTGAAGGCTTTTCTTGCTGTCGGCAGTGTCGTTACCATCGGCGTGTCGATCGTCCTTCTCATCGTGTGCATAATGAACCTGGTGGCAGCCACATTCCTCGAGCAGCAACATCGCCCACAAGCAGCACAGTGCGCCAATGATGAATAACACATTAGCCGATGCCGTTTTTGTTGATTTCATTTTCAATTTCATGTTTTGTTGATCACACTTATAGCAGTAAAAAATAACACAACTCAAGAATAGTATGCTTATAACACAAGTAGTAAGTTACGTTTAAACAATTTGAATATTAAATACGTTAATCTAAAATTGTTAAAACTAATTTCTTTATATTTATAAACGTATGTAGATATTATGCATGCAATAAAAAAGTTTAGAACAACTTATTTATTGAAAAAGAGATGTTCGATAATTTTAAAAACATCTGTTCGTAAAACATATGCTGTCATCTAAGCTTCATCTGTAATGAACGAGTCTGCGTGCAAGCATGCAGTCAACTAAACATATTTATTGTGTAATGCAAATGAGTTAATATTAAAGTTAATATTTTCAATCTTGAATCACATCAAAGAGTTTCAGAAAATGTTGTCACATTGAAATGAGCAAATTCAACAAACGTAAAAAACTTTCGTTCATAACAAGACAGTCTGAAAAAATGCTAATTTATGTCAGCAGGCGCGAATGGTGTCGTGCATGAATGAGACTTATGTTAATGAATCATATTTTTAACTTGCCTCATTTTATACATAAACTATCAAAACATAAAAATATTATTTTTCAAATTTCACGAAAATAGTTTTTTTAAACTAAAATGATTTTTAGAGAGCATTATACGATATTGTGCAAGCAACATGCAGCCTTGATGATGTTGAAAGACCTTGGGAGTGAAATGCATATGTTACCTAGCGAATGAGAGAAATTGAAATAAAGTACCTATGTAAAGTTTCAAAAACGCATTCGTTGCATGGGGGTGTGATTCCATCTTGGTCACATGTCTAAGTGATGCCATATTTTGTGTCGCTAACCAGATTTTGAAAATAATTTCACCCTTAAATCTTTTTTAAAATGGCAATATCTGGATATTTTATCACTTCGGAAGACTTCCTTAACTTTTTACGATGTAACAAAATAAAAACGTTATACAATCCGATCTTTTTATTTTATTTTATCGGTTCTTTTATACTTTTTTTTCTTTATTTGTTCATTTAGTTGTAGTAGAGTAAATATTACTTTGAAGTATTTAACGTCAGCAAGATATAGTATCGCATGACGGATAATACCTACTTTTAAAATTCGAAAAAAAATTGCACAAATGTTTATAGCAACTGTACAAATATGCGTAAAATATGTACAATTATTTATTTATATATTTATTTATTACGCTAAATAAAATTCTTCATTCAAGTTAATTATATATATCGATAATTGATTTTGAATTGTCTTATAAAAGTGATGAAGCATCTCTGACCCACTTTCTTTTAATGATAAATTTGTGTCTATATGTTTAAACTTAAAATAATTAGCTTTTTTCATTATATTAGATATTGAATAGTTACTTCCTTTTGTACGTGTTAAATTTTTTAACAAAAGTTTAAACGTGTAAAATGAAAAAAATGTTTGTTAGCATCCATGACCTAAATGCTAACGTATCAACAAAAACTGCAAATCAACAAAGTAACATCAAACCTGAATGACACAGTAAACAACATGCAAGATAGAAGAGTCATAAAACATGCTACATATAGGCAACATGGCATAGGGTAAACATATATAAATATAACATATACAGGCAGATCATATAGAATAAAATGTAAAGAAATCATACATACAAAAAGAGTTTATAGAATAAAATGTAAAGAAATCATACATACAAAAAGAGCTTATAGAACATATCGGAAGAAATATCGTGTAGAATAAAACAGAGGGAACCGCACAAAATGTATCCGTGGCATGGTTTACTTTAGCAGACAGATCCAGGTCTCCAGAATTATGCTCCAACGCAGCGAGAGATTAAACCGCCCGGAAATTATGACGTCATAAATAAGACTGACGTCATAAATATGACAACATGTAACACGCATGCATGATAACTAAACGCATAGCATCTATCTGGAGCCCTGGCAATGCCAGAAGACAGACTTTATAAATAAGTATATGAAGGGGTGGCAAATATTTTCGAATAAAATTGCTTTAGGCCTTTTCCTTTTCTGTAGGCTTATGACAAGATCAAGAAAATCGCAATCAACAACACAAAGCGTGTGTGTGTGTGTGTTTATGTGTGTTTGTGTTTATATTTTATGATTTATTTTGGTAAATCACAAAATTGGTACGATAGCAAAATGGGAAATCAGAGTTTTTGTAAAAAGAAAAATATTACAAATTGTTGATAACTTTTTTTCTTTTTATAAGAAATAATATGAACGTTGTGCCATTGCATACAAATTATTTATTTATTTTTTTATTTTCAAGCAAATTATAATTTTGTGAACTTTGGCTTTTATTTTCAGAAAGCGAAAAAAAAATCTGCATAAAACGTATTGCGAATATCAGGCATGTTTATAAACACACGCAACTATATCAATGTGTTTATACATTCATACATTTCAATAGAGTATCAAAATGACAGTAATGCTTTTCCTTTTTAGCAGCAAATAATTTCATTTTCGCAAGATAATGAAGCCGCATTTATTTTCATTCTCCATTATAAAATTTAATTTGAAAGTAAATGTGTCGTATATTAATATTTTCCTGATCATTTATTGTATGTCTTTTTATATTCTAGGTGAAAGTGTTAATGAGAAAACGTAGAAGCAAACACTCACGCAAACATCCAGGCGGAAGAACGTTTATAACGTAGCCTATGCAGGATTAGGTGTATAAATATTGGTCTGATAGATGCGGTCCTGTTGCCTGGTCATCATATACAACGCTTTGCTCCGTTACCTTACGATTTCATGGTTTTGTTACTATGTTGTTGTTGTCAAACTGTGTTTCTTTCTACGATTCTTTGTTATGAAACATTCTGCTAAATAGATGTTTTTAATGAATTAATAATTTATCATCACTAGGTTTGACACAATTCATTTAGTTCGGATTAACTTTCGTAATATATAATCGAAAAATTTTAAAATGATTCATTAAAAACTTTTTTCTATTTTTAAACCGGCAATTATGTGTTACACCATCTGAAAACTTCATGTAAAAGTTGGTTTAAATACTGAGGGAGATATTCAATAGTATGCAAGAACTTTAAGATGGGGCGCACAAAACGTTTTTGCCTGAAATCTCTGAATCGAGAACTGAGAATCAAAAAACACAGCAGGTAATTTATAATTATGGTACATATAATTAAACATAAAAATTTAATAAATAAAAACAGGAAAAATCACTATGAGAGAAACTTAAAAACGTGCCATTAAACAGAATCATTAAAACCAACAAAGCTATTTCATTCTTAATGACATAACGAAAAAATGTCAGGCATGTATTCTACCACACAGCTGATAACATCAACACTGATATTGATGGTATTAGCACTTGCAGCAATGAACCAACTAAAAATAAATTGCTATGCGATAATCATCTTTTATTTCTGGTTGCTCTGATATGTTATTGCCATATGGGAGTTGAATTTAATAGAGGTAAGGATGTACATGATATGGAAACCGAATTTGAATAATTTGGTTAAATACGTTAATAATCAAAGTTATCTTAAAGATTTTTCTCTAATAATAATCGGAAATTTTTCTGCATTGTCTGGCCAGTCAAGTTGTCTTATCGATTAGTATTTCAGATCTGTGGTTCACTCTCAAGTTAAGTAGCTTCTGTGTGTTTGTACTTTTTATGAAAAGTTATTTCAGTTAAAAGTTAAAACATTTTTGCTGGTTCCGCAAAAATAAAAAACAATAACTTTTTCCTATGAGCCATTACTTTAATAACGACAAATAGTGTTTATATACAATGATAAAAACACGAAATGTTAGGAATGTTGAATGTCTAATGAATATTCCATCAACAATCTTACACGTTATTTGTTAACATTATCAAGTTTCTACTCTTTATGCATAACCAAAACGAAAAACTGTTACTGACAAATAATTTTAAAATTAACAAAAACGAATAAAAATAAAAAATGCAAAGAAAACATGCGTCCTGATTAACGAGTATGTATCATAACTCTCACTTTATCATTATCTTATTTTTCTCTCTTATTTAAACACTATCTCTCTCTTCAATTGCAGAGCATCGCTGTATATAAAGACCGTTGGAAGATTTTTTCACCAGAAAATTATAGAAGGTCGACGCGTTAATTTTTTTTTTGTGAAGAACTCTGGTCTATTCATAACTTTTAAGAAAAAACTATATAAAAATTATACAAGTCCTAGATATCTTAACATGTATCGAATAAAAAATAGTTTATTGAAGTTTGAAATGTTGTTCGTCATGGCGGGGGCACTTTGTGCCATCTCCTCCACGGACACAAGTTAGTCTCAAATATTTTTTTATAGCGGTTTCTATATTTAAAAGTTATTTCGATTTAATTAAATAAATATTATTTTGTTGAATTATTATAATTTAAACGATTCTTATGTTTTATAAATTTTCATACAATGAATAATTTGAAAAGCATTTTCTGAAATATGAATTTTATTTTTGTGTTTGCCTGGACGTGATGAAGAATTAATTAAAGGTTTTGTGTTGTCTTTAAAATAAGCACTCAGAAGAGCGATGTTTAAAATGAAATTTGAACGAACGTCCAAGGGTGCTGATGAATGTGTGCATATTTTTTCTAATTAAATTAAAAATTATACGGCCGTACGATATCTCTGAATGAAAAAAGTTCTCATTAGTTTCGATGTTTTAGTTTTTGAGTTGATAAATTTAATTTGAAATCGATTGAAGAATTTGCACACGTGTTTCATTAGATTTTCCTAATTAGGAAGGTTCGTTTGAGATTCGCTAGAAAAATTCAATTAACCATGAATCAGTTTCGCTCTGCATTCGTCAGTCTGTGACGTTTCTTTCATACTTCTTTGTTTTTGTTTGTTAGTTCCTTTGTTAGGTATGTTTTTTTCTTTATGTTTGTCAACGTATCGATACTTATGTAAGTGATTTCAAAGAACTTTCAAAATCTAATCAATATTTAATACGAAACATGTTTATAAATTTTTTTCAATATAACACTTTCATTCATTTTTTCTTATCACATGCTTTCCTGGTCCAAATGTTCAGTCACGTTTATTTCATGTGAAGTTTGTTGAACGCTCATTTAAACATTCATAAACGCTTTAAGAGTGTTCATGTTTCAGTTTTCCGAAACATTACAGAGCGCAGTATCAAGAACAAGACATGACATGGCATCCATCCTGACTGACCTCACCTGCCGACAACCGTTGAATTCAATCATTTTTTATTGAAAATATTAAAATATTAAAAATATTAATTTGCAAATTGAAATTTAAAAAGTGAATCAGTGAATGCCTGGTACAAAAAAATCTTTTCTAAAAGATAAAAAATATCCATTTTGTTTAAAAGATAAGAAAAACAATTGAAGAGCTTTTTTTGCTACACTTTGTTTACATTGCTACTTTCTTGCATTATCGATCTTACTTTCTGAGAGAAATAAATACTGCAGCAACAAATATGAATCATAATTTATTTGAACTTGAAAGTTTCAAACGTTTGTGAAAAGTTAAAGCGAAATATAAAGAACTTGACCTTTTAAAAAATAGACATAAATTTTTAAAATAAAAATTTAACTAAATTCTTGAATGTTGGGATAAGGTTCATTAGAAAAAAATCAAAGCCAGCTAATAATTGTTAATTCAACACTCCTTTTGCTAATTCACCACGGCATTTAGATGTTGTCATACGCACACACATGCAGTTTGAAAACAATTCTTATAATCATATTTTTGTTTCTTTATTTGGCAACTCGTTGAATCCTCATTTAGAAAAACCAGATATAATATTATCGTAATTTATATTTAGATTCACATTTCAACTTTACAATTAAAAATTACTTTTGATAGCTACACCTCAATATGTTTGAATGAACCAATGATGAGATTCTATCATTTATGAAAGTTCAAGAAAATTTAATTTGTCTCAGTAGTCATGATTCATTAGAATAATAAAGACCTGTGCACTGCACAACCACAGACCATCATCACTTTCCACACTATACAGCATTAACAAATCACAAAAACAACCACAACAGCCCATTAACACGCACCATCACGCAAACGAAACAACAGCATTAGCAAGGACAGTCAACGACATGACCTAACAATATTTTATGAGCAGGAAGAAATCAGTAAGAAAAAGGAGCAGCAATGTACCAGTAAGGATCGTAAATAATTTATAAATTACGTGCACGGTGAATGTGTCCATTTTTCCTGCCTGCCGGTTCACGCGCTTGATCATTGCGCTAACAGATTGTAATACAATCGACTGTATAATTAGCATTCAAACTAGCATTATTCATTATAATTGTTTTGTTAAATTTTACAAAATATACATCAAATTGACATCTTTTATGACTGAATGGTTAAGCTGGTTGT